GCCAATGGGTTATCCGGACGGCTCAGGAGTCCGTTCTGGCAACGCATGTCCCCAGAGACTCCAAAACCCCTTAATTAAGGAATATACCTCAAATCATATTAGGGTTCCTATTAGAATGTAAGGGAGATTCCGTAATGAAGGGGTTTTGGAGTCTCTGGGTCGTAATGTATGCACAGCCTTGGGATGCTTAATTGGCTCCGCGGTTCACTTGCTGCCTGCTGCACCAGTTGTCGAATCTCTCTGATGAGCGCGCATGTGGCTGGAGTGGTTTTCTTACCCTAAACCCTAAACCCTAAACCCTAAACCCTAAACCCCAAACCCCAAACCCTAAACCTGCTTCCAGTTCCGGGCTTGTACGCGATCAGTGAGACAGCCCACCAGTTGCGCAGTTCGGATGTCTACTTCAAGATGCAGCTATTCCGAAGACTGCAACATGCCGAGACCTAACCTAGAGCAAATCCTTGATAGCAAGCTACTTGCTTTAAATATACATCTGCACATATATACATAAAAATATTTTCTCATTAGTGTATTTATGTTGTGTACATATTTGTTTAGTAGTTCTTTTGTACTAAACATTACTAGACTACATGCGTTGCGTGCATGCACGAAGTGTCTGCACTTTTGCATCTGAGCGTGGAGCTGCCTGAACGTTCGGAGGCCGGAGGCCCGGGGGGGGGGGGTTCCCCAATCACCTCGGCCCCTTTTGGGGGCCCTGTCCCCCCCACAGTTGAGCGGGACATGGGTTGGATGGCTTTGCAGACCATCAGAGCTGGGGGTGCAAAAGATGTCCTCACAGGTTTTGACAACCCTAAACCCTGAACCCTGAACCCTGAGCAACAGGCAGCAGGGGGAGGGTCTGTTTGTATTGCATACACATACATACACACATACACAACCAGTAACGCACATATCCTATTTAGATACATGTGTATGTATATATGTAGATGTATCCAACAGGCCTTGCTCAAAAGTGGCCCAAGTCATGAAGCCTTGTTGACGCAGGAGGGCTCGAAAGACCAGGCGTTGCAGGAGCAAGCTGCATGGCTCTTGGAGAACGCTCCATATCTGAAGGACGTTGGCCATGAGCGCGATACGTCAGTCGGGCTTTGCTTCCAAACAAGCGAGGTATTCAAAGCAGATCGTGACTCTGATGGCCCTTTCTGGGCATGTGCTCAAGAGGTAACTTCCGACAGCTGTCACACGAAGCTTTCAACAGGTTCCCCGCGAGTTCTGCTATTTTTGTTCAACCTGCTCGAGTCGAGCTTTCCAGGAGATGCCAATCCTTCGAATCACAAGCGTGCACAGAGGAGTTCCAATCCCACAGATCGTCGCGGAGGCGCTTCGCAAGGTTTGCTAGTTGGCTTTTGCTCGGGAGCAGGCATTCTACAGCAAGGCACTGCATGCCCTTGAGTCATCTGTGTCTTTCTCGAAATTGCGAAGCCAATGAGATGCCTTGTGATGAGGATCCGCAATGGTGCCGCTTCGTCCTCACGCAGTCAGAGGACCAGAAGCCCTAGAGCACAATGCAGTTGCTTTAGCCGGCTCTGTGTTTGCCAGCTGCGTAGATGGGTAGATCAGATGGAGCGTTGCAGAGGTTGAATTTGAATGTTGGAGGCGCCAGGCTTTCAGGCCGAATCCGAGCAACACTTCATGACTCAATGACTCCACCACCTTGCCAGGCACGAAGTAAAGGCTTTGCAGAAGCAGCGGAGCCTGGTTTGCATGAAGAGGAGCCACATTTTTCTTTAGACAACGTAGGGCTACGTGAAGCGCCCAGCAACAATATCCCAGAGCCGGTCCAAGAGATGATCAGCATCTTGAGCCAACTGAACTTTGGTCGATCTGCGCCTCATGCTTGCCTCATGCTTGCTTATACTTCAGCTGTCCACGAGAATACGGGTTTCGACAATGCCGTCTTCCGTCTGTAATTTCGACGAATGTTGTCATCTAACGCGTAGTTTCCGTGTCGAGATGTGTGACGCAGATACACTTCCACCTTGAAGACCACCTGTCACGTGGTCAAAACATATCCCCTTCGAGAAACCTGTGTGACAGTGTACAGTCAGCCAATGTTGCGCTGCATCATGCCCTGTGTGGTGGCCTTGTGTGTGGCAACGTACTTCCATGTGAAAAGTGCTTGGCGCTTTGATGCGATTGGTTTTGTTGCTTGCCGATGCTTTGGCCGTGACGTGCCCATGCCTGATGCTGAAAATCAAAGCGACATGTCAGGAAAGGAGAACGCGCTGGGTCTGCTAGCAATGAGCATAGACAGCAATGACAATGCATCGATTTGGAAACAAGATGAAACACGCATAGACATGCCTAGGCGTGGCTTCGCGAGAATGCGTCCGAGCTTCTTCAGGCAGAGGATGTGCCTCAGAAGAAAGGCTGTCAGAGCATTTTAGGGAGGGAATCGCAGGACGTGGATGGTCTGAGGTTGAGGCCTTGCGTGATGTCTGCGCTTGTCCTTGTTTTGATTTTGTATACACGTGTTATGCGACGTGGTCCATGTCGGGTTTATGTTAAGGTATGCCTCTGTTTTCATACCATGTATGGTTGGTCACCTTCAGATTGTTGGAGCCGAATAGAGGTTCTTCGCGTTTGTCTTGTCAGTGTGCGACCTCTGGGCAGCTCTCAGCCGTCAGCATATGTCGCATTTGCTCCCACACATGCTTCGAGACTTCGAGATGCTCCGCTGCGTTCCGGTGTCATGGGCGCTGAGCACTCAGGATGCGGCGGACGCTCAGATAGGTCAGATGTTCTTCAAGCGCTACGGAGAGCATTTCGTCGTCCGCTATGGCAAGTACCGCATGAAGACCTTCAAGGCTGTCCTCAAGGACACGCAGTGAGTGAGTGCAGTGACTCGCCTGCTGGGCTTCCGCCTGCAAGCGCTCGTTCGTCGCTACTAAGAGACTAAACATTGACTTTAACTTGCTCTTCGTCGCTTGTGGCCGTTACATAAGAAGCGATCCTGTCCCTGTTTCTAGCGTGGCTTCTAATTTAACTTTTGAGAGAATGGGCGTTCATGGCATCCTTTGCGTCGGCAACGTAACTCTCCACACTGGTTGTCACTTTCGAAGCCTTCGATCACTTTGATTGTATCATCCCCACGCCCACGCCCATATACTACACATTGCGAACAGTTTTCTTTGCACACCTTTATGTTGACATGTTTCATGGTTTGGTGGCTGACTCGGAGTGCTAGCGAGGATTGGTGTGCGCTGCCGACCACTGAAATCTGTTCCATCGTAGAAAGCATCGCTGTAAACACACAGGGGGCGGAAAGATCCAGCTTTGAGATTGATCGCCCTTTCCAAGTTATCCTGCACTAGTTGGGTGGCCCTTTCCAGTCGTTCACTGCAAGTCCGGAAATTCTTTTCGATCCTGCTTTAAGATTAGCCCAGATCACATGTCCTTACACTTATACTTGTACTGATTGTTACTGTTAATGGCAGGAGGCACCGAAGTTTGTGGCGTGGGCGATGCTTCGGTCTACTGAAGATGGCCGACCTCCCATGCTTAACTGTTGCCGCCGCGGTTGCGTGTCCCTGCGTGTCTTCGATGGGTCTAGATTCCACACATGAAAATCATTGAAGCCTGGCGTGGCCATTCATAGCCTGAAGGGAGAGAGTGGGCAAGATGGCATCCGATATTGGTTTAAAAGAGACAAAGCAGAGCTGCCCTGAGCAGGTGCGAGCAAGAACATACAGCACCTAGCTGCGTTTGCACGCCAACAGTTGAGCGAGGACCTGCTATTGCACCTTCCGCTCTTGGAAGATGTTGCTGCGTTCTCCGAGTTTTCGCTGTGCCCCAAGCACCAGACTTCTTGATGCTCCGCCCCCTGCAAGGAGCCGGCAGGACCAGCTTCAGGCGCGAACCCTTTGGATTTGCCTCGCCGATGCTTTGCTTCGATGGATGCCCAGACCTCTAAGAGTGTGTGCTGCCATGAATTGGCACATGACAGTCCTAGATCCACCGAGCCGGCAGAGCTTGCCTGAACCAGGCTCTTTCACGACAAAGACGCAGAAAGCTGCCAAGTGCTTGGCAGCATGAGCTTCGCAACTCCCGATGTGTAGTGTCGGGTTGATAGTACGATTGTTCCTTGGTCCTTGATGTAGGCTATGTTTTCAAGCTGTTGCTTGAGGTAGATAGGCCGAATCACGGGGTGTTGAACTAGATGGCCGGAAGGCCACAGTTCAACGGAGCAAAAACGCCGCACAACTGCGGACCAGGTGCAGCAGACTGCTGTTTGAGTTAGCCTATCGAAAGCAACGAGCAACGTGCGGCGTTGGGTCCAGCAGGATCCTCTCTAGCGGAGGATGCTGCTGCTGTGCAGGGTCATGCACACGTCCAATGGGGTGCTATCAGGCCACAGTCTGCACCGAGTAGCCCACAGTAGACCATGCTGTGTTGGGCCAAAGTGCCATTGATTTTCGATGGCTGCGGGCCGACTGGGGCAAAAAACAAGCTCGAAGTTAGTCTTGCATTCTTCCGCACTGGCTGCTTGTAGTGAGCTTGCTGCGCAGATCTAGGCCTTCGGAATCTAGGTATCTGCATTTCTGGCCATCGAACTTGCAATGGGCGTCTTCCACATATAGGGTTCTCTCTTCAGGGCAGGGCATTGCTTTGCTTCTCTCCCAGGCCCCCTTGAAATCCTCGAAGTCCGCACTCACAATCACTCACAACTACTTCGTTAGGTGTCGAGCCGAACCCTACATGTACATGTATATGCAACGATAAACCCTCAACCCACGAGCGTGAGAGCGGAAACCCCTACATTTTGGGATTGGACTGTGCGCACGGGGCAGCGTTGGCAAGGCTCATGGTAGGCTTGCAGAAGAGCGCGGGAATGTCTACTCAAGAGTGTAGAGGAGTTCGGGCAGCGGGCTTAAATGTAGTGTGGTTCAAGGAGCTTGCAAAGGCTTTGCATAGCGAATGGAGTCGGCTTGGGCTTGGTACTTTGAATGTCCTATCGCTGAGAGCCGAAAGCGCGCGGCATGGCTCGGACCTTGGCCAATCTGGCGATTTTATCGTGGGGCACTTGGTTTACGAGGTCTTTGCATTTTGAGGGTGGTCGGGCAAAGCCGATTTTGAAGTAACATGAGTAGCTCGCGAGATTTGTTCAGTGCCTTTGCCAAGCGATAAGTGAGTGCTGCCAGTAGTTCGCAAGAACCTGGGGTTTAGGGTTTAGGGTGGGTTGTTGGGGTTGTTAAGGTTTGGCTAAGAGCTTTGCAATGGATGTTTATCAAGGACTTCTAAAACAGGTCTCTTAAGGGCTTATTGGTGGGCTTTGCAGGGGTATTAAAGGGATTGGGTGTTAAAGGGATTGTAAGAGGTCGAGGATTTTGGGGCTTTGGGGTTTGAGGATTGACGAGTCTAGAGATTAGGGACTTGGGTTTGCTTTTGGCTTTTGGGAGTTTGGTGATTAGGGGAGCGAGATAAGGGCGTAGGGTTTCGGTGTTGTATGCCTCAAAGCGTCAAGCCTTCACCCGCAAAATCGCCTTTCGCGAAGCTTAGACCCTGTATCCGAAACCCAAGATTCCTCAAACCTAAACCCTAAAACCTAGACCTTAAATCCCTGCACACCTTCAAGCCCAAACAGTTAAACCCTGTTAAGCCCTCCTCGAATTGGGTGATTTGCTATTTGAGAAGGCGGGGCTGTTGGAGAAGGACTTCATTGCGGAAGCCGCATACGTCCAATCTGCCTATGGGACGCGTTGACACTTCGGCTCCATTGCAACCCGGCCAAGATGGCATAGTCAGGAGCAACTACACAGCTATCTCGGCCCTTGATCATGTTCGTGGCCAACCCCATTTAGGTTGCTCCAGCATGCTCGAGCCAGGTTCGTCAAGCGCGCTGTGGCATCTACGCCAGGAACAGCATCTCCGGCAAGAACGGTGCCTGACTCACCGAGCGGCGCTCACTTGGCCTGCTGGTTCGGAAGCTTGTTGTGGGAACGAAGCTGTCCATCTATATAGCCAGCCCTACTAGTGTCCTTTGCACTTAGCTTCCTACAGGTTCAGATTGCAAGATAGCACCAGGAATCAGAAATTCCATGCACGTTGCCCCTTCAAAAGGCCGTTTGTTTCGAAGAACTAGGTTTGCACGATGTGCAGCGATTGTGGCAAGCGGCGCAAGGAAAGAAACACTATGGACGGCCCTTGTCCCAACTGGTGTTTGAAGACCCTGAATACTGCCGCTGGCTTCTTGGCGTGGCTCAGGCTGGGAATCCAAACGAGCAGACAGAGTTGTTACCTTCAGACTCCTCAGACCCCAACAGTTTCGTGATGCATCACAAGGATGATGTAGAGTGGTGATGTAGCGCCTGATGCCTAAAGCTTTGTCTTGTGCATGCATCCTGTGCTTTGCAAAGACGACGAAAGAAACCGCAAACCTTGCTATTGCTACTGAGAGAGGGCTGCGATGCCAGCGAAACCTCTTGTGGATGTCACGGGCACCCCGCCCCTGCATGCACGGATCAAGAGAATGAGCAGAGCAAGATAGTTCGTTGTGCTCAGCATCAAAATTCCAAGCAGATTGCAACACCGATGCCATCTGAGACCCGGCAGGAGGCGAACGCATCAAATGCACTGCGGGAATCTGCGATGTGGCTTCGTCTGAACGCCCCGCACCTGCAGGACGGCCTTCGGTGCATGGGTTCAGGGTTTAGGGTTTAGGGTTTGGGGCGATACGGCAGCCCCCAAATTCCGTTGCTCAAAAAAAGGGCGAACTCCACCAATCTAGGTAAGATTGTCTGCAGCTCTGAAGCCGAAGCCCTCACCTTACAGCGGTCCTGTATCACCTTAGACGAGGAGAAGAAGAAGCCCCAGCTCGTTTCAGGCAGAGTCTCCCGATTTTGTGCCGGATGCTGCTTTGAGATGCTCACGGTAGAGGGTCCAGGATGGGCGCAGGACTTGGCTGCGGCTGTCTGTTGTTACGTTTGGCTTGGGTTTTTCTCTTCCCTGAAGCCAGCGACAGTCATGATACATTGCGATGATGACCCCTCGCATCCCATGAGTATGCCAGGCAAGAAGCACCGTGGGGAAGATCTCTCCAAGCTCGTCAGCGAAGATCCAGCATACTGCCAGTGGATTCTCCGCGAGGTTCAGGCGGGTGGGGATGGCCTTGCAGACCCGCCACAAATCACAATCGTGCCACCAAACATTGTTCCCATGACAGGAGGGAGACGCGTCCCCTAAGCTGCAAGAAATGGCTGCCTGGATCACAGACAACGCGCCGCATGTGCAGGCCGACTATACATGAGTACTGGATATTCAAGGCTTCTCTAGCTGTACCCATGCCTGACCCCTGACAGGAGCAAGGCTTGCGGGTTGGAGGCCTTGGTGCACGAACGTAGATTGATCAGAATGAAGGACGAGAATGGCACGTCGCTTCTTCCCCTTGAAAATTGGGGATTGCCGGGATGCCAAGCCAGGTTCCAAGCATTACGGACGCCGCATTTCTGAACTCGTGACTGAAGATCCGGTCTTCTGCCAATGGGTTCTGCGAAAGGCCAAGGACCCTGCTTAAGGTAAGGCGCTGGAAGGAAAGCTTGTCACTCCCCTCACTTGCAGTGGTGCTACAATTGTAGGCTTTCAGGGTTCGCCATAAAGTCTTTGGATTCTGGAGAGTACAGTAGCAAGCGCTCGTCCCAGCCAATATGCCAACATTGCCAAAACGAAGCGGACTACAATTTTTGTTGCAAAAGGAGTAGATGCACTTTTCCGCGCCACTGCTCTATCCACGGATTCCCACAGAGGAGCATGGTGCCTCGCATGGGGTACGAGACATGGCCGATTGGCTCAGCAAGAACGCCCCGCACCTGAAGGAGCGATTCAAGTCACCATGTTCGGATGTGCGTAGCCAGATATTTTGGACAACATTTGCAAAGCTCTTGAAAGACTGGCGCTGGCAAGCTGTCAGTTTGTGCTGAACTCATTTGATCGAAGCCATCAAGGCCAGCCGGCAAGCCTGTCTATCAAAGTTTTCGAGGGTTTTGCAACCGGCAAAGACTGAAGGCTACGCGATTGCCTGTTGCAGCAAGCCTGATTCCCAGCCGGGTCCCTGACAGGAGGCAGCCTTTGCTACAGGCGGGGACTTCACATTGATGTGCGTCGCTCAATGGAAACCATGCCCCCTTGGATGCGTTGTCATGTGGACAGATGCGCAGTGAATGGGGCTATTGCTACGGATGCCTGCAGGGCTTGATAGGCTGAGGTCAGGCCTGAAAACTTGTGTGGAAAGATGCAGAAAGTACATGACCGAATTTGGACATTGTTATTCTCTTCTTCCTTGGCAGCAATCCATATGATTCACGCATCTCATGACAGCACCCCTAAACCCTAAACCCTGGCACGTTGCGGTTTGTCTATCAAGACAGGAGACTACCGGAGCCTTGCCAGCGCGTGCGCCAGTGTGAGAGTCGAAACCCTATGCCAGGCAGGAAGCACTACGGGCAAGATATGCCCAAGCTCGTCAGCGAAGATCCAGCCTACTGCCAGTGGATTCTCCGGGAGGCCAAGGCGGGGACGGTTTAGGGGGTTTAGGGTTTAGGCTTAGGGTTAGGGTTCAGTTTCTGGCAGCACCCACCGGAGTCCGGATGCAAAAGGGTTCCACAAACTACAATCATGCCACCAAGCACTGTTCCCTTCTTGCAGGAGGGAGAGGCGTCCCCTAAGCTGCGAGAAATGGCCGCCTGGATCACAGACAACGCCCCGCACGTGCAGGATGACTCCATAAAGAAGTGGATGACTCCATAAAGAAGTGGATGTGGTACCCTGTGCGGCGTCCAAGCTTGCAAAGCAAACTGCTTCTATTAGCAAGCAGTGCCATGCAACCATATGTCAAGTTTCAGATCCTCGGTCGTCAAGGCTTCTCCAGGTGTAGCTGTGCCCATGCCTGACGCCTGACAGGAGCAAGGCCCGCTGGTCGGAGGCTGGGTCCTTGGAGCATAGATGGTGCAGAACCTGGTCATGAGAAAATTCCTCTCTAGCTTTGCTTAATTCTGCAGCAGTGGGCCTCCCGAACCCTGGACTCCGTGGATGTTCTTTGGATTGCCGTTGGGAGGAACGGGATGCCAAGCCAGGCTTGAAGCATTACGGGCGCCGCATTTCTGAACTCGTGACTGAAGATCCAGTGTTCTGCCAATGGCTTCTGCAGAAAGACAAGGACCGTGGCCCAACTCACTTGAAAGGGTGGGCTACGCAGCAGAAAGTGTGTGGAATGTCCTGGTAGCCAGTACACGTCACCATTTTAGAGTTCAAGTTGAACCGGATCAGGGGCTTGCACTGAACCTTTGGCGATTGTCCAGTCTAAACCCTATAAACCCTAAACCCCATCTGCTGATTGCCACGAAGGAGGGTGGTGCCTGCCACGGGATACGCGAACTGGCCACCTGGCTCCGGGAGAACGCGCCGCACTTGCAGGACTCCACGTTGCCTCATGGCAAACAAGCCAAGATGTTCAGTAATGTTGGGGTTGCGGGCTTTAGATGGATCCCGTGAAATAATATATAGTTGGGCGAATCGTTGTAAAACAAGTTTTCCGGGCGCGTGGGGATGTCACTCGCACCCGTGACCGGGGCGTTGCAAGAAGTGGGGCGTTCATATCCCAACGCGCCAAACAGGGCCCACACCACTGTATCCTTGAAATGGTCACGCGGCCTTCTTTAAGGATGTGTTCCCACTTCATTCCAGACATAAACCGAGACAGGTCTTCCAACAAGTTGTGTCGATACGCTTTCCTGGAGTTGATGCATCATCGTTGACAGGAGGCAGGGATTGCGGCAGGCAGGGGCTCACAAGTTCTATCCAAGTCGATCTTGTCATGTCTGAATTCTGCATGGGTTATGCACGGACGAATGCCATGTTCATGCTTCGCTATGCTCCACTTGACTGAGCGTGTTAAAGGATCAACAAGGACAGGATGATGGAGGTTTCAAGGGGGTGTTCGCCATGAGCAGCTGAGTTCCCCGCATGTGTATAGTGTTTCCCAACGCCTGCCCTTGACTCACGGAAGACTGGACCTTCTGCGCAGCGTGTGCGCAGACGCCCATTACGTCCCTGTCCGCTATAGTGGCCAGGCCAGAAGCACAGGGGCCGTCCTATGTCTGAAGTGTTGGCCGACGATCCAGCATATTGCCAGTGGGTGATCCATCAAGCTGATCAAGCTGAGGCTCGTTCGGCAGAAATGGCCGCAGACCTTCATCTGTAGGCTTTGGTTGATGCACGAGAAGCTTGGGTTGTTCCGTTGCACGAAGCCTCCGATAGGCTTCGCCCGGACTGCGAGACATGGCCGACTGGCTTATGGCGAACGCGCCGCACCTGAAGGACGGACGGCACGACACATGTCTTCTAAACTCTATCCTCCTGGCAAGGGCAGAGCAGGGCAAGTGCGCCGACTGAGTGTTGGACATAGCCGAAGCAGCTTCGCGTTGCAGCCCGTACGATGACTGGGGCAATGGGAGATAAACAAATCGAAGGTTAATCTTCCCCAAATCGGCTGGACCAGGCCAAACCCCAAAGTGGCAAGAGCACCTCCTGACCCAAGACTATGGACCTTAGGAAGTCACTCCTTCCTCCCTGCCCCCCGTCACACCGTGCATGCCACACTACGCTACAGACGTGCTCGGCATGCTGCACGAGAAAGCTGCACTTTATTTTTCCTATAAATTCGCTCAAGTTAAAGCTCTCGCGTTCCTTGCACCAAGCATTGTGCAGGCAGGGCTCGATTTCTTAGGTTCTGCAGAATCGAAGCACAGCCTGATCAACAGCTACTTAGGGGGCCTTGCAATGAAAGCGAGGCGTGTAATGAGCACACAAGTCCGGAGCATTGAGCCTCTGTTCAGGCGCCATCGGCTGCTTTAGGCACGGCTTGCTCTCGAAGAGTCAACACAGTTTTTTCTCAGAAAGTATTGGTTTGGTTCTTTATTGGGGGGGTTGCTTGCCGCTGCAGTTGGACTTTTGTTGGTGCAGCTTCGATTGAGGGTGTCGACAAAGTTATGGCGCCCTACCCTTTGTCTAGCACGGAGTTTTATGCTGGCGTGACCATTTGCATGAGGACGTATACATAGCCTTTACCGATTGCACCAGAGGTTGCATGCCTTGAAGTGAAGCCCTGCATGCCCTGCGGCCAGGCCAAGACAGGTCAGCAAGATTTCTTTCCCGGTTGGTGGCGGAAGATCCATCGTATTGCCAATGGTTGCTGCGGTCAGCGCAGGAGCAGAAACCATCATCACATTATCATTGTGCCGTAAAGTTAAAGGCGGGTTCAACACACGCCGCCGCCGGGAAGAGCCTGCAATGCGTGTGATTGGTGCGCTTCAGCATAGTGCGAGAACTGCTGCTTAAGTGCTTGTTCAATCCAGCTTACGCGGCTAGGACTAGGAGACAGGGAAAGTGGTTTCCTGTTGCGCCCATTTCATATTTTCATTTTGATGAGCTCAATATAGAGTCAAGCATTCGCGCCCGCTGGAGGAGAAAAAGGTTTCGAGCGAGCAGCAAAAACAAGCCGAGTGGCTGTTGAAGCACGCACCGCACCTGAAGGACGCGCCAAGCATGAGATTCGTGCAATCGAGGGTTGAGAGGTGGTGTGCTATGTCCGTGCAAGGGTATTTACGGTATTTAATGAGCATGTTTGCAGCAACCTTGTTAAACCGCACGGGGCAGGCCGGCATGGGGCAAGAGGTGTTTTGCTGTCAACTCCGGCACAACGTACATGGGGTAGATGCGAACTGAGCAGCAGCTTTGTCCTGCAGGAGATGCACGTTGTACGCATGAAAAGCGTACACAGAGGAATTCCGCTTCCTCAGGTCGTTGCTGAAGTGCTTTGGCGGCTTCCCTTTAGACCGCAGAAAACACCCGGCAGATTCCACCGGTTAATGTGTGTTGTCGTGTTTTCCTCGTGACAGCCATGCTCTAGTTTGTAGCGTCCATGCAAAAGGAGACCCTGCTCCAATGCCTAAATGCATCTTGCCACCAACAATTTCATAAACTAGTGTGAACCGTATTGGGCAAGAATCACATTACATAGCAATTGGCTTCCGGCTTTAAGCGAAGAAAGGCATCATCAGGTCAAGCGCCACTAAAGCCAAGCACCCTTTGTTGTGCGCCTGGCATTTTGCATCTTCGCATGCCAAGGATCCAGGTTGGTGCCGCTTCGTTTTGGGGCAACCCGAGGACTTTCGGCGGGTGTTGTGGTACTTGAGGTAGGTTCACTAAACCCTAAATGAAACCCTAGGCCCTAAGCCCTAGGAGAAGTACCAGGATGTCTTTGGGATCCCACTGCTCTGTCCCTGTCCGCTTCGCATCAGGCCATGTGCAAGGAGTTTGCAGAGGTGGCAGACGCGAAGCTGCCCTAAGGGTGGGGGAGGGATCTGCTTCAGGACTTGATGTTTCCTGCAGACATGGCAGCCCAAGCTTGTTGCTGTTCAGGCTGACGAGTGGCTGGAGTTTCGGGAACGTGTTGTCTTCTTCTTGCATCTATGTTGTGCCTTAAAGCTGCTCAATGCTTCTACTTTAGCAGCTCGAACCCTTGAACACTTGGACCCTTGGAACCCTTGAACCCTCGAACCCTCGAACGCTTGAACCCTAACCCCAAGCCCTAAATCATTCACAGCTTGGGTCTTACGTTGGCTTCGAGAGGAGTAGCAGGGCCGGAGCCTTGTTTCTTGTGGCAGAGCCCGGCAGCCATGTCGTTGGTCACACAAGTAAGCCTTCATAGATGCCTGTTCATGAGGAGCCTCAATTCAAGCGGCTGCCTGACGGCTATCTCAGGAGTGGCTTCACGTGAACGCTCCGGAACTTCGAGAATTTTCAGAAGTATCTCGGCGGAAAGGCCGTTATTCTGACACGTGCTAGATTCCAGCTCTTTTCATCTCTTAGCTGCTTTGGGCTTCCGGAAAATCGGCTTCATTACACTTGTAACTCGTTGCTCGGATTTGCTCGGTCTCTCTCTCTCTCTCTCTCTCTTTCTCTTCCAAGTCGTAGACTTATCAGTTCTAGGATACCGCTCTGTTTTCATCGGCTCGCACTTAGGGCAATCGAGCTCTCTTCACGCAGACGGGCAAGAAGATGCTTGAACAACATGGCCGGTGGTTCGTCGTGAGATACGGCAAGCATCGCATGAAGAATTTCGCGACAGTGATGGAGGACGAAAGCTGCTGCTTGTGCCGATTAAACCGCATGAATTGGAAAACTCGACGGGGGTTGTGATTTGGACCTTACGGAGGGAATTAGCAACCCTGGGCATACGTAGGCCCTGCCTGGCATGCAGCATGCTGTCAGTCAAGAAGCATGGTACGTTTGCGACGTGTCGCAGGTTGATGCCGCTTCCTGCTTAGATGACTGAATACCATCTAACACTACCATGGGATTTGTTATCTGGTGAAGTACATGTCTGCCAGACCATTCCTAGTTTAGCTAGTCCAGTGAGCAGCGTAGGTAAGCACAGCTGCCTGCAAGTCACCCCTAGATACGGCCCAGGGCAACGGTGTTTGCGTTATTTGGAATTCTTTTCAGGCACTCCTTCTCCTTTGCACATCGTGAAGAGAGCCACCTGTCAGGAGGATCCCGAGTATGTAGAATGGGTCGAGCACGCTGTGAAAGACGGTGCCAAGAAGAACAGCCCCTCGACCTAGTTGCTTTGTGGGAGTGCCTCGTCCCTGAAGCATCATACCTTAAGATGCTCTCCCTTATACTAATCCCTATTCAGGACTGTTAGTATAAGGGGGATCAGCCTCCCAAGCACACGGCCCTGGCAGAAAACGTCCGCCCTGGAAGCTTCTCATGCATGTTGGCAATCCCTCGAAGCTCTCAAGCCCTGGATGACCAGAGAGCCTCAACAATCCATGAATCTCTAGAAGCCTCACATTCAGGAATTGCCAGCAAGAATTACCAAGTCTTCGCTGCATTTGCCAGCCAGTGGCGCAGCAAGGATGCCGGGACAGAACCACTCGGGTTTGTTTGATGAAAATAGTCTGCTGCGAGGGTTATGCAGAGTTCTGCTTCTCTTTTGTTTTTTGGATTCTGGCTGATACCTGTACGGGATATTGCCCATGAAAGTCTTGACCTCAGAACTCACCGATAGTGATCCCTTGCATTCCAGTCGCCGGTGGCCCGAACACTAAGCCACATCAACGCCACTTCCTCCCTGCAAACAGATTCTGCCGCATGCTGTCGTATCAAGCGACGAAGCACGCGAGTGTATCTGTGTCCCCTGTGCTCTTGCCACCGACACTGCCATTTGCCTTCCTGAGCTCAGCTTTCTTTCCCGCAAGAGACCTGGCCCCATTCAGGAGCAGGCTGTCCTCGCTTCAGGTGCGGCGCATTCGGGTGTTTTTGACGGTGGAAGTGAACTTTTGGGTTGGTTGCCTGGCCAAGTGCTGATCAGAAACTCAGCCGTGCGACCATGCCGGCACACTAGTGGTGGACTGCGCTGGGTTGCTTTGAAGCAGTGCAGAAGTCAACCTCCAGAGCTTCAAAGTCCTGACCGCCGTGAGCAGGTGCAGCAGAGGCCCTACACCACCAGACTGCTGAGTGCACAGTTGTGTGAGCTTCTGGTTCGAGATAGCAAGCTTGGATAAGCCTGGCTTTTCATGGATTTAGGGTATGACATGAAGGGTTTAGGGCCTTTAGGGTATGTACGGATCCGGTGCTCAGGGTCGCGGGGTGTTGAACATGGTCACCTTGCACAATGTTCAACAAACCTGAACGCAGACGCTACTGCCTGACGATCCGGTTCTCCTGCAAGTATGCATCAAGAGCGAAGGCTGCACTGTCAAAGTTTCTTCAAGCGGAAGTGGTCATGCAGTCTGCCTTCAGCTGGGGCCGCAACGGCTCAGAAAGCTGTTGCGTCGAACTCTTCGGGGTGGACTTGGATAAAAGCAACCTCGCCACATTCATCTGCTTATTGTGTGTGGGAGCTTGCTCCAAAACCGAGACATGTTTAAACCGTATGAACCAGACTTGCTTGATCACATACGTGCTACCTAAGACCTAGGAGCTTTCCGCGCATGTCGCGTCAGGAAGTTATAAGAAATCACCAGACATAAAAAAGGCAATACAGTAAGCCGTTTAGAGCCACTCAAATATCTGGACTCTGAACCTTGCAGCATGCATTTCGCTCACCATCAGTTCCTGTCCTGTGCCGGCGGCCATCTTGGCCCAGTGTCGAGCAACATCCCGGCGCCGGACACGAAGGCGCCGACTGGAGGCTCCCTCGGCCAGTCTGCTGCAGAAGGTGTAGGGTTTATAAGGTTTATAGGGTTTGCAGGGTTTATAGGGTGTATAGGGTTTAGAGGGTTTAGGGTTTAGACAACGCTGTGCACAGAATTTCCAGTACGACCTACAAGCCTTTAGCAAGTGCTGTGGATGCAAGGAAAGACAACGTTACGTGGAACCTGTGCCCACATACATGAACCAAATGTGAGATGAGGCAATGAGGTCCGGAAAACGACTGTCTAGGAGATTTTGCTGAATGGAGTGTGATAGAGGAAGCATGTGCGCAGGTCATGGCGTCACCTTCAGCAGTGTTCCTGAAGAAGCTGGAGCTGTGTTGCCACAACAGGGTTCTGGTGGGCGAAATGTTGGTTTGGGTCTCGGAGGGAAGTGCAGTGTTGTTGGAAGCGACGGTGTTGCCAGTAGAATCTTAGGATGCGCATCTTTGTTATACAATGTATAGGTTGTGCTGGCAGCGTGTTCTGCTATTCAGAGGTGCACGACAGCAGCCTCGCCAGGAGACATTCCTGAAGCGGATTCGGAAGTGGGACACGGAGTGCCATGGCTGAGCTGCCCATTTCAGCGTTTGAGGCTTCAACAGGCGTCAGGTAAAGTCTACGGTGCGGGCATCGCCATGGTCAAGAGGTTCGGAGGAGCACGGGATCTCCACAACTTGTGAGTGAAAATTTGCCACTTGCCATCAGACAGCCGACCCACTTTGTTAGTTTAGCCATTGCTACACCTGATGCAGTCCGATCGGCCCTTGCTTGTAGTTGTCACGAAGTCGCTACTGAAGGACCCAACTTTCCGATCTTCCCTTAATGGACAGGGATAGCGTCTGCCCGACATCACTTCAGCACATGCCCCTCCGAGCTGAAAGGTTCCTCTGCATCGGAAAGAACGCTGCAGAGGTCCCTGGTGTGACATGGGGAGCGCGCGATCGCACACAGAGCCAGATCTGCTCACGCGATAGGGGAGGGCACATGCGCTTTGGGATACTTTGGGTTTGGCTCGCAAAGCTGGTACGACTGAGACATGGTGTTTACAAGGGTCATGTAGTCCTCGCCTACGGCCTCTTCCAACCACTGCATGAGAATCCAAGCTCTGAGTTCTATAGTCTCCAAGCGATAAGCTGCTGCAAAGGCCATGAGGATCGTCTGGACACTTGGCCCTCCGCAGTTGGGTGAAACAATGCCGAACTGCTACAATCGGTGAAACTTGCTCGAACCCATGTAGCCCCGCTTCGGTGACGGAGAGGTTGTGGCAGCTACATCTTAATAATGTGCAGCCCGACGTAGGCGCGTGAAGCCTTCAAATTGCCAATAAGCAAGCACCTGCTAAACTCCCTTGAAGCGGTTGGGCAGGCAGCCAGTGTCCAAAGTCATCCCAAGCTGCGGAAGGTCTTCAACGTGCCGAAGCCGGAGGAAGTCATGCCACGGATCACGGCCAATCTCGATTATTTCAGTGGTCAGGCTGCAATTGCGCCGCGAGCCCCGCTTTCCCTACAAGGAGGGGCCCCCTAGTTATAGGTCAAGTTATAAGAACCCTAAATTGGGTTCTGAGGATCCTAAATTAGGTTATAAGTCCCTCAACTACAGTTAGTATAGTAAGGGGAGGCCCCTCCCTGTATGGGCTTCTGATACCGGCATTTCTTCAGCCCGGAGTGGCCACCAATAATTTTTGAGGATTCTAAGCAAACCTCTGAAACAGAAAGAGGATTTCTAGGCCCTAACTTGACTTGAGGTGTGAACTACACCGTGTGCCTTGCCGTGTTCGCCCTGACCTCGATCGTGGTCTATCCGCAACTCGTCATCTCGTGACACAGGCTCTTGAAGTGTTACCTTCTTGAGCCATCCATCTCGTAGATGCTTTCCCATTATTTTCATAGTTCATGTTTTTGCTTGGCGCTTGCGGGAGTCTGGTGGCATCTCCTGCTTGTTGGCGGTGACGGCATATGCAGGCTCAGCTATCCACCAAGATACCCAGCAGTGCCCGAAGATAGGCTTATTCCCTTTTCGGGGGGTTTCGGTTCCCTTATGAACCACTTTGGCGGAAAAAGGGCAATCCTAGGTTACTGGGCAACCTCGTTTTCCCTTATGGGTGTCAGGGTTGTTGGGTTTCCAGCTACTATCTTCATCACCTTAATTCAGGCACATACAGCCTGTGCACCAACACACCACCCACGAACCTTTCAATGAGCCCTAAACCCTAAACCCTATACCCTAAACCCCAAACCCTAAAGCCTAAACCCTAAACCCTAAACTCTAAACCCAACATGGAGCTTGTAATGAGAGCCGAGGCAGCTTCTGGTGCTCGTTTGCGTCTTCTCGGGTCTCTGGCCCCTCGGAAGCCTTTAGAGGCTTTAGGTTGGGATGTTCCCCCTTATGCTAACAGTCCTTAATAGGGATTAAAATCGGGGGTACTAGAATCCCTATCAAGGACTGTTAGTATAAGCGTAGCCCTTAGTATGATCCCTATTAAGAACTGTTAGAAAAGTAGTACCCCTTCGTATGATCCCTACTCAGGGGGGAACATCCCAAGCTTTTCAGGGTTTGTCTATATACTGCGACCCCGCCGTTCAACAGTGCGAGTTTTTGGTGAGCAGGGCGTCTGCATGTCAGACATCCCTCCATGCTGCTTGTTTCTGAGCTTCATCAACGTCCCTCGAGGTTTTTAAAATATTAGGGTTTAGGGTTTAGGGTTTAGGGTTTAGGGTTTAAGGTTTGGGAAGCCCAAGCACTCGAGAAGTGCAGAAAAGCACCCCAGACCTTACCCAAAGCAGCCCCGGTCAGAGTTAAAGCACCTCCAACACATGGAAAGGAATTTTCACTCTTTTATGAGGGTAACTAGGTTACTTACTCTCGCTAGGGCCAAAAAAAAAGGCCCAAGCTCTGCAAGGTATGGCCTGCTCACGCGCCCGAACCACATGAGACTTCAGATTGCCAACGCGCTGCTGACGAAGCGCAGCCGGGCTGACTTATGTCGAAGAGATGTCGCAGTGAGCCCCTGAACCCTAAACCCTAAACCCTAAATCCTAAACCCTAAACCCTGAACCCTAAACCTTTTTTTTGGTGGTTCTAGGTTCCTTATCACACTATACCCTTGATATGTAGGGAACGTAGGGATGTTGCAGTCTCTGTGCGACCTGCAGCTGACAAGGAGAGGATCCCAGAATCTGTGGGACATAAGGTTCGGTTAATATAGGGGTCGGAATAAATACTAGTAATGTTCCCATATGGTCCCTTTGTAGTTTTATTATATTCACCCCCCCAAACCCCTATTCTAATTTTCAGGCCCCCTATATTACATGCCAATCTCGGGGTGGAATTTAGACTAAGTCTCTACTTCTCTACTTATTTTCTACTTCTCTACTTTTCGAATTGTGATTACAAGAAGCAAAAACAAGAAACGAGGGGGGTGGAATTTAGATCAGTTCTCTACTCCTGATTTTCGAATAGCGAACGTTCTCTACTTGTCTGATTGTCGAATACTGAACATAAGACAAAACAAAAATCGAGGGGGGTGGAATTTAGATCAATTCTCTCTGAAGGGCTTCGGGTCTTGCAGTTGGTGGAGGAGTTTAGGGCCTGCCTCTTAGGCCCGCTTAGGGACCACGACTGGCACAGTTATCCCAGCCTCCTACACCCTAAACCCTAAACCCCAAACCCTCGCTGAGGCCATTTAATCTACGCCCTGGGCTCTCTCAATGCTTTGGTGGTCCTGGCACCTCGGCCGCTTGTGGGTTGGAGGCTCGTGACCAAGATGTGGTGCTGCTTGAACATGCAAGCGTAGCCCCCAGGCCCAGAGAGGCACCGATGATGATCTACATATATATATATATATATACATATATACACAATATATATATATATATATACTATATATATATATATACACATTATATATATATATATATATATACGTACACATATTCTACATGTATACGCTGTATAAATGTGTATATATATATACATGCAGTATTATATAGTCGGTGCATGCTGCTCAGCTCAGGTCTTCTACCGCATGATGATCTTTGCCATCATCGGTGCGTCGTTGATGTTTGTGCCTGGTCTTGTCATGGGGTTCAAATCTAGATTCGTTGCCAAGTGCTTCCTCGTGACCCATCTCATTGACTCGCTCCTAGTTGCAACAACTCTTGCAGGTCACCTTGGCTACTTTCCTTGCTGGCAAGTCCAGCCGAAACGCCCCTGCATTCACATTTGCCTAGCTCCACACAACTCCTCTACTATGGATTGCTTAAGAATTTTGTTTTTTTTTTGGGAGGGGGTTCTTAAGCAAATAGAAGTCTACTCCTACATTCATCTCGAAGAGGGTGCCTCCGAGTCTGCATAACCTTTCGGAGCAGCGCACGCCTATCCCCTAAACCCTAAACCCTAACCCCTAAACCCTAAACCCTAAACCCTAAACCCAGGTTCTGCTCCATGCAGGGCTGCACGCCGTGCCCGCGAACGCGAAAGGAAAAGTCGTGGAGGAGGATGCCTCGGTGACTTGGCTGCATCCGTTTGTTTAGGGTTTAGGGTTTAGGGTTTAGGGTTTAGGGTTTAGGGTTTAGGGTTTAGGGTTATAGGGTTTAGGGTTTAGGGTTGGGATTTTGGCTCCGGCGTTAGCTGCCAGGAGGCATACTCTCAACTAGCCGCGTCTCTCGTTCTCACAGCCAGGCACTTGCATGAGATTGGCGCTTTGTCGGTAGGGGAGCCAGGGCTGCTAGGCCCTTACAGGATTCCTGCTATCTATACATGTGTGTATATATGTGTATATATATCTGTATATGTATATGTATATATGTGGTCAGTTCTTCAGGGTCACCTAAATAATGGGGGCCTAGCTTGCATGGACACGCAGTTGCCTTTTTTCTCAGGAGCAGACCACGCCGATCGTCTGAGAGAGATTCGCGGCAACAAGAATCTTTGCGTACTCCCTAGGATGGGCTATTCGGCCTCTTAAATAAACCCTATAATCAACCCTAGCAAGGGCCCTTTTTTTTAAGGGGTGATAGAGGGTAGAATAGCCCCTCTATAATCAACCCTATCAAGGGCCTTTTTTTAAAGGGGTGATAGAGGCTAGAATAGCCCATCCTGGGTCACTATAGGCAATGCACGTACAGTAGCCAGCTCGGTCGGCCTTGGGCCGACAAAGTTCTCGCCAGCCACAGGGTCCGAGTGCTGCGCCCGCGAACGCCTCCACGCCTGTAGGCAACAAAAGTGCAATGTCTGCAACTTGAACCGAACCCTAGAACAGAAACCCTATAGAGAAAAACAATATCACATGTATATATATATATATACATATCTACAAGTTTCGCTACCTGTCTATTTTTGGAACTATTGCTCTAGTACTTCAGAAATTTTCAGAATGACATAGTTTTGCAAGTATATGCTTTTCTAAACGAATGGGGAAATAAATAAACACAGAAATAAAATGCATGTATATATATATATATATACATGCATATGTTTGTTAATGCCCCAGGGGGGGCTTCGTTATCCTGGCATCCTCGCAGCCTACTGCCGACCCACAGCTTCTTCTCAAAGGAACCCTACACATCCTTAGATATCCTATGCCTTCCCCACAAGGTTATTCTCCCCTGCGTACCCCCAGGCCCTGGGAGGACAGAGGATTGTGTGCGCGCGCATACGTTTGCAAGAAAAGGTGCGTCGCGGGCTTCGTGGCCTTAATGGGAAAACCCGTACTGAACACCTGAAGCAGAGGAGACGTGTGTGTCTACGTGGTACGGAAGACAGTGCAAGGAGCCTTTACCACATCAGGCTCGATAGGTTCCTTTACACCCTCAAACACGCTTAAGAACCCCTAGAAAAGGGACCCCCAATTTCTGGAAAGCCCCACACTACGCGTGGTGGCTTGGGTTCGTTGCCAGGGCCTGCGCGAGGCTTTGTGCCTGTAGGGTTTGGTCTGAATCTTCAAGTTCATCCCTGCATGGGCTACTCTACCCTATAAGCCCTTGAAAAGGCCCTTTTAGCCCATGCTGGTCAGAACCCTAAACCCTAAACCCTAAACCCTAAACCCTAAACCCTAAACCCTAAACCCTAAATAGTCCGAGCGGCTTCCAAGGTCAGCGAGGGCGTCGACGACAACCTGAAGGTGGGATGCCTGAGCCTGACAGTGAAACTCCCGAAAAGGTTGCCACACTGGGGTTTAGGGTTTAGGGTTTAGGGTTTAGGGTTTAGGGTTCAGGGTTTAGGGTTTAGGGTTTAGGGTTTAGGGTTTAGGGTTTAGGGCAACCCTTGCACGCTTTCTCCCGAATCTCCCCTCCTGGCTAGTCGTCAAAGCGTTATATGGGGGTTTCTGAAACTAGGGGTCCTCTTTTTAGGGTCCCTTTACGGGGATTGCATTCTGTTTTGGGGTATAACACGGGGTACCCCTCTTGTGGGAGATACCCATACAGCTGACTGACCATCTTCTTTCCTGCCCTGACGGAACCTCTGCCATTAGACCAAGCGACTTGTCGCTTTTTGTCATGTAGTTCGTGACTCGCGGCGTGGCCATGGCAGCCATGAAGCGATCGCGGCGCAACCGAGTGGCATACCAGGTGGGGCTGCTGTGGGCTCCGTATCAGGGTTTGAAGCTGTTTCACAAAAAAGGCCTATAAGTATAGCAACGTGTCCCATGTTGTAATGTGTTATGTCAAAGTATAGTAGGCTGTAGAAAATCAAATGGTGTCAGGGGCATGACAAACATGTGTCTTAGCCGCATCTCTGCAAGCAATACATCTGGGCAGGTCGCGCCTTATATGCTTCAATGCTTCAACTGCTTTAGAAACAGTTCTGCTCTTCTAGGACCCAGAGTAGGCCCTTATTCCCTGTTTTTAGGGTTCGGGTTCCCTTATAACCCCCTTTAAGCCCAAAAAGGGCCCTTTTATTCCTAGGTTACTGCTGGGTCTAGTCTTTGTAGGTCTGGTAGTTGCGACTGAAGCCCATTCGAGGTCGAGGAGCCTGAGCCGCTAAAGGAGGCTGGTGGGGACTCATGCTCGGAAGGGTTGGCGCTCTACCTTCTTCGGGGTTTAGGGTTTAGGGTTTAGGGTTTAGGGTTTAGGGTTTTTTTCCTCCCACACTTGGGCATGAAGGACGTTTTAGGAGGGAGGTCGAGGGGCTTTGCTTGCAGGGCGTTGGTCTAGAGCCTAGAGATGCCACTCAACTGTTGAGCTATGCCTCCTTCCATTGCGCAATGCTTGCCGCATGGGGCTCTTCATGTCCGGTTAGATGGACAACTTAGGATTCACATGGCTTCAGGATTTAGGGCAGGATCTGGGTGGTGGGAAGCCTGTTGCAAGAGGTTTCGGCTGAGGCCTTAAGCTGTGCTTAAGAGCCAGAGGTTTAGGGATTGTTTACGGTTTAGGGTTCAGGGGGTCATGGGGTTCAAGTTAAAGGATTTAGGCAGTCGTATCGAATGCACTGCTCAGGCCCCTACCGCCGAACCTGAGCAGGAAGCAGAGGCCGCTTCGGCATTGAAACTCAAAAGCTTGTTCTGCGTAGGTTGCCTCACAACTCAAGTAACCTCAGATGAACAAAAAGTGGGGTCCAGGTTCTTGCGGTATGGTGAATCTGCGTGGTTGAGTCAATCCCGATTAAGAACCCTAAACCCTAAACCCTAAACCCTAAACCCTAAACCCTAAACCCTAAACCCTAAACCCTAAACCCTAAACCCTAAACCCTAAACCCTAAACCCTAAACCGTATAAGAGGGAACATCCCAAAGGATGACCCAAAATCAACTCAAATCCCCCTCAGAACCTAAACCCTGAACCCTGAACCCTAAACCCTAAACCCTAACTAACCCTAAACCCTAAACCCTAAACCCTAAACCCTAAACCCTAAGTCCATGATGTAGTTGTTGTGTTTTCTATGGATTGAGGGTTATAGTGGTTTGTGATTGTCTGGATGATGGACGCTGGTTGGATTGTAGGATACACCGTCGTACCTCGTAGTCGCCCTGCGATGTGGATTCGCCCCAGCTGTGCAGGAGTGAAAAAAAAAACCCTAAACCCTAAACCCTAAACCCTAAACCCTAAACCCTAAACCCTAAACCCTAAACCCTAAACCCTAAACCCTAAACCCTAAACCCTAAACCCTAAACCCTAAACCCTAAACCCTAACTAAACCCTCAGAGCCCAGGTGCCCACGACTCCGCCAAGTCGCAGCACCTCGATTCTGCGTGGCCGCGACTGCGGCACTTAGCAAGCCTTTTCTAAGAACGAGAGGGCTTTGGAAGGAACCCTAATCCTTAAACCCCAAAACCCTAAACCCTAAACCCTAAACCCTAAAACCCTAAACCCCAAACCCTAAACCCTAAACCCTAAACCCTCTCCTTTCTACTCCCCCAGGTGCCCGCCTGGGTCTCCTCCTTGGTGCCCCGACCGCGGGTGCCTTGGGCCTCGTGGCCGGTGCTGCCGCGGCCCGGCTGAGACCCTCTCCAAGCCCGACTTGAAGGCTCAAGGGTAGGCTCTAAGTAGGGTTTAGGGTTTAGGGTTTAGGGTTCAGGGTTTAAAGTTTAGGGTTTAGGGTTTAGGGTTTAGGGTTTAGGGTTTAGGGCGAGAGCTCAGAAGCCTGCTGCAAAAGGGTTTAGGGTTTAGGGTTTAAGATAGTTGCAAGTAGGGCAGCAACGTAACCTACATTGAAACCTCAACTGAGATACTTGTACCCACACTGATGACTACCCATGAGCCTTCCAGTACACCTGCAACCCTTTAGAATGAGGAAATGGTAAGTCCATGGAATGAGATTGGAGAATTACGAAGATGTCGGTAGACCCTAAACCCTACACCCTAAACCCTAAACCCTAAACCCTAAACTCCGAATCCCAAAACCCTAAACCCTAAACCCAAACCGGAAACCCAAACCCCAAGGCCTCTTGAATCCGGTGCTGGAAGCCCTCCACAATGCGCATTCCATGCACGCTCAAGGTTGCACCTTGAACGAACTTGGGCCCTCGCTCCAAACCTACAAACAGCCCTCGCGCAAACCACGCCTCCATTACAACCCAAAACCCGAAACGCTACGCTCTAAACCATAACCCTTATATTCTGAACCCTACACCCCCCAAAAATCGCAAGCCACCAACCCTCAGGACCCCGTCAGCTAAGGTACCCAAACTCGGGGAGTCCTAACTCGCCCAAGCCTTGAAAGAGTCCTCAAACCCAGGGCGGCGCCGCTTTTGGCGCCTTCCTGGCGCCTTTGACCTTCGGGTTCGCAGTCCCTGCGTCCCGGCATGGGGTTATGTAGGGCCAGAAGTGGAAGCCTCAAGGATTGCAGGTGTTTAGGGTGATCCTTGCCTGCGCTGCCCGAAGCTCTGAGGGCCTTGGGGTGCTTGGCTGGGTTCGAGAGCTTTCTTTCCGAGGTTGGAGGCTCGAGGTACATGTCAAGCAACAACACTACTGCCGCAGTGCTGTCGCCGTACCCAACCCAACTTGAGGGTTTCAAGGTGGTTACTATTAGTACGGCTTTAAGTCAGGTAGCTGCGTTTATAAACCGTTCATCCCCAAACCCTTCAAAACGCATGCGCAAGTGCGCGAGAGTCACTCAAAAAACCGCCCCCAGGAACTGTCAAGTAGAAACATGGAACCTCAGCCAAGGTTTGCTCCGGGTTTTCGGCCTTTGTGGGCCTCATCTTCGGGCTTTGCTTGGGCGCCATGGGTACGGGCCTTAGTGACTCAAGCCTTATGGCCGCGGGTTTAGGGTTCAGGGTCGTGCCCTTAGGCAGAAGATAGTTCGACAGGGGCGACTTCGACCCTTAGCAGTTTAGACTTCCGGGGGCTTCTAGACCTTCATGCCCCAAGATCTGAACCCTAAACCCAAAGCCCAAACCAAGATGTCGCCCAGCCGTAGTCAGCATCGTGGTCCTGAATCGAGGAGGCGCTGCCTTTGGCGGCTTCCTGGGTGCTTGTGCTTTCTTCCTTGGCTTCGGAGGCCGGAGATGATCAGAACTTGACAAAGCATAGAATTGCCGCTGCCGCCCTGCGCGGATTGTGCTGCTGGATTTTGGGTCTAGGGTGCGAAGCAGAGCTTGACATCGTTCGGCATTCAACAATCGTGGTGCCGATTCGCCCGTTGTGCGCTGTGATTTGCGAGTACACGAGTATCAGGGCGAGCTGCATTTTCTCCGTCCGGCGAACTTTGCAGTGTTGAGTTATCCCCACTGCCTCCAACCCAGTGGAATTCTGCGACCAAAGGGCCTTCAAAGGGCATGATGCATATGCATATATGCAATACGTATATTCAACATACAAATAAGAAAATAAGCACCAAAACCACTGCATCAGGAGCTTGCAGCGTGGATCCGACGTCCTCACACTTTGTACAGGCACGCAGGACGAGGGCATGCCGCCCCACCCCCCCCACCGCCTGTGCAATCCGCAAACGCGCTGGGATCCAGGCTCTTTGGGCTAAGTCTAAGGGTTTGGTTTAGGGTGTTGGGGGTGGTTTAGGGTTCAGGATTCAGGGTTTAAGAGTGTCGGGCTTTAGGGTTTAAGGGTTTAGGGTTCAAGGGTTTTAAGGGTTTAGGGTTTAGGGGTCTCTGTCCCCCCCCCCCCCCCCCCCCCCCCCCCCCCCCCCCCCAAAAAAAAAAGGGGTCTGCATCCGACCCTGGGACCCAGCTGCAAGGTGGCTGTAGCCTTGCTCCTCATGGGCATTACAGGCTGGCCACGTCTGCGCGAGCTAATTTTGGAGTCTGGGCTTTGGGCTTCAAGTTGGGTTGAGGGTGTAGGGTTTAGGAGCTCAGTCCGGGTTCAAAATGGTTGTAGGGCTTAGGGTTTAGGTTTTTGTTTTTTCAGGCGCGTTTTTTTCTGGCAGTCAGCAGTCTAGCTTCAATGAATCAGTCAGGCTTGGGGTTTAGTCAAAAGGTTGCTGAGAGCCGGGGGTTTCCTGTTGCAGAGCAAAACGGGAACGCTTGCCTGTTAAAAGCCATGAGCAGGCCCCTAAAGCCAAGCCCCCGAAACGGGTTTAGGGTTTAGGGTTTAGGTTAAACCCTAAGAATATTCTAGCCCCAAAGCCTCAATCCCCATGTCACCCTGGCCTCAGAAGCTCATACGGCCCGTCAGCTACTCTAGCTCCCTAGACTTCCGCAGCCGCTTCAAGCTGATAAGCCCAGCCAGCTCGTTTCAGAACCACAAGTTAAAACACCCCCTAAACCCTAAACCCTATAAACCCTATAAACCCTACAAACCCTGTAAACACTATAAACCCTATAAACCCTAAAACCCAAACTTGCCCTCCCCAAGGCAAAAAAAAATGGCAAAAAACCGTCAGCCGCGCTTTGCAGGGCCCATCACCGCCGCGGCGGGCGCTTTCCTCGGGATGCTCAGCGGCGCCTTCCTGGGATTCTTCGGAGGCTCCCTGTGGGGGGGCGGAAAATTTAAGGGCATCTGGGGTGAAGGGTGTAAACCCTAAACCCTAAACCCTAAACCCTAAACCCTAGACCTGATTTAGGCTGCTGGCCCAAAAGGAGGAGAGTTGGGGAGGTAGGGTTCGGAGTGTAGGCCCCCAAACTTTCAGGCCCGCGATGCGAGAGCAGAGGGCTTTGAGGCTTTGGGGTAGGCTAGGGTTTGAGGGTTGAGGGTTTAGGGTTTAGGGTTCAGGGTTCAGGGTTTAGGGTTTAGGGAGCTTTTTCAGGCGTTCGACTGTGTAATCATCTGCACGATGCCTGGGAGTCCTCCCAGAGCGTGCGACACAGACACGTTGCAAAAGAGAAAACATATGCCTAGTTGTGGTGCAATCCTAGGCCGCTTACGGTACAAAATGGTGCAGTGGCTTGTGTTCTAGGCTCTTGAAGGCAGCCCCTACACTTCCAACATCCTAAGGTCTTAAACTCCTCGCGGCTCGCGAGCGCACTCATTCTAAGGAATGGATGCCCTCCAAGGCCCAGCAAGGCCTAAAGTGAATTCTTAACCCTATGGGCCACGAACTTGACCGAAATGCGCAGGTCTGCTTCTGGCCCCTTTTAGCTTCGGCCTGTCCATCCCGCTGGCCATAGCGATTTGCGCCGTCATTGGGGCGGCCATCGATGCCGCCACAGGCCTGGGCCAACAAACACAGGACTTCTTCGATCCCCCGAGATATGTATACCAGGACCCAGAGTGGGCCCTTACTCCCTTTTTTTACAGGGTTGGGGGGTCCCTTATAAGCTCCTTTAAAACAAAAAGGTGACCCTCTTTATTCCTTGGTTACTCTGGGGTCTCGTATATTTGTAGAAGCATTTCGTGATGATGTCGAAGCTCGTGGAGAAGCTGCACCAAAGACCGCCGTGACAGGTGCCTTGCTTGCGGCATGCGCAAGTGGACTGCTCGTGAGGCGCGGGGCTCTACACCCGCCTACGAATGCTAAGCTGTAAGTCGCGAGCCTCCGCCACATGAAACCGTGGCCAAGTTGTTACCCAGCTCCCGCCAAGCTGGCCAGCGGACCTGGACACCCCTATAAACCCTAAACCCTAACACTGTCTGGTTGTTCGGTAAGGTTAAGGCCAAGGCACCACCTCAACCTCAAGCCCAACACCCCAACAGAGTCCGCCAGTGGTGTGTGCTAGGCTACCTGGAGGACCCAGGGTCCCTTTTCAAGGGTACCTCTTATGTTGGGTACCTGGTAAACACATATTTCAGGTACTCTGTCTGAAAGGCCCATAATTTCCATCAAGGCCTTTAATGCGTTGCACGCGATTGGGGGGGGGGGGGTGGCTAAACCCTAAACCCTAAACCCTGAACCAAAAAAAAACCTAAACCGTGGCATGCAGCCTTCCCTGCAAGGTATCATGGATGGCTGCTGGCAGGCAGCCTTGCCCAAAACCTTGGGGACACCAACCCTAGGGTTTAGGGTTTAGGGTTTAGGGTTTAGGGTTTAGGGTTTAGGGTTTTAAAATTGGGGTCATATACCCTATACTCTAGGATGCCCAGCAGTGCCCTCATTCCCTTTTTTTGGGGGGGTTAGGTTCCCTGATAAACCCCTTTAAGCAAGAAAGGGTACCCTTTTAATCCTGGGTTACTGAGCATCCTAGCACTACGATAATGCCTGTTAAGGTATGTGAACCATATACCGGCTAAAAAGGGTACAGTTCGTGCCCAATAGGTAGGGTCTACAAGGTTGGGAGGGCAGCACGGGTTCATTAATAGGGTTTGCAGCCTTCACAGGGCTTAAAGGCTTACAGCCTTCCCCGAACACACAAGTGCTGCCACGAGTCTGCACCTTCCTGCAACCCGCCCCCCACTCGTTGGGGACCAAATGAACCCTAAATCTGAAAACTGGGGTCATTTACCCTATACTAGAATTTCTGTTAGGGTATATACGAACCATGAGCCCGTTTAGGTTTCATGTCTTCAATAATAAGGCAAGCTTAACCCTGGGACTTGACGCCACCTGCACGTAGGTCTCCGCCGCGCCATGTCGGCAGCGAATGCAGCCATGAACAGGCACAGCCGATTCGGGCGAGTCCCGCTTTTTGTCCCTGACCTTTACCAGCATGGGCTATAAATTGGGCCTTATAATCCCCCGAACCAACCCTATAAAGGGCCTTTTTTTAGGGCATATAGGGTATAATCGCCCATGCAGGTAGGGGATTTGGGGAAAGCGGCGTGGCTTAAGCGTAGCAATACTTCGGCACGGCGAAAAAACCGTAAAGCTACTTGAAGCTTCATGGATGCTTACAAGTAGCGGCCACTATGTTTATAACCGTGTTTCCGGTAACTGGGGTACATCTAACCTGACCGTATTCAGCAACCTGGACAAGTATGGTCCATCGAGTCGCACTCCATTCATAGCTTTGGTCCGACATGGTCCCGCTGCCACTTGTGCATTCAACAGAAATAGGGAACAACTCGGCCTAGGATTACAGCTCCAGGCTCTTCTGAATGATCAGAATGTTCTTGAAGCCTCTGACTCCAGCTCTGCTGAAACATGAAACTCTAAACCCTATACCTTAAACTCTAAACCCTAAACCCTAAACCGGTGAACCTCCAAGTTTCTGCTTCTTGGTGGTTTCGCAGATTCCGCTGGCGACTAGCTTCATTTATCGCGCCGGGAGCAGCTGAGCAGCCCAAAACGTGGGCCGCGGTGCCAGAGGCGGGCCTCTGCATGCAGGAGCATAGGCTTTGCAATCATGGCTTCGTGCGAGTTCCGGGTTTAGGGTTTCTGCTATACAAGGACCAGTAATCCTGATACACATCAGAGAAATAAGTTGTCAGACGCTCTTGGCCTTGGATCGCAGTATACTTTGCAAACCTGTCGGGTTCATGGTGGATCCTAAGCCCTATAAAGTTCTATAGAGCCTTAAGCCTATACACCCTACACACCACAGAAAGCCTAAGCCTCCAAGCCCTCCTCCACTTCCCCATGTCCGAAAGCCTTCGTCTCTGATGTCCCCCTCACCGAAGGTGTGGCCCCAAACACATCTGCAACCCCTTACTTTGAAGGTTCATGGGTAGGTAATAGTTGCCTTAATTGAGGTGTTGTGCTATAGGGTTGCCTTACTTTGAACCCCTACTTGTAGCTACCGAACGAATTTCAAGCAGGAAAAAATCTTAAACCTCAAGCCCTAAACCCTAAACCCTAAACCCTAAACCTCCTCAGACGGAAGCCGGCTGCGCCGATCCCCCTCGGCGCAGCGCGCGCCGCCGCAGAGCAGCGCGGGCGTAGAGGCGGCCTGCGTTTTTAGGGTCTAGGGTTTAGGGTTAGGGTTTAGGGTTTAGGGTTTAGGGTTTAGAGTTTAGAGTTTAGGGTTTAGGGTTTAGGGTTTAATTGGGGTTTAGGGTTTAGGGTTTAGGATTTCCAGGCTCCTGGGAGGATCCAAAAAGTATATCCCCTAGGGTTCCCAAGAATGACCCAATAGTAGGGTACGACTTGGGGGTTCTACTTTTTGCATCCTCCCAGAATTCTGGGTTGCCGTTGCTGTTGTCAGTGCTATGGGTGGCGTTAGCATACTCTGCCTCTTGTTATGGTTCTTCTCTTTTCTCCTGGTTTCGTCAGATCAGCCCTGCCTGGTCTCCTTCAACTTCTTCGGTGTAGGCTTTGGATAACCCTAAACCCTAAACCCTAAACCCTAAACCCTAAACCCTAAACCCTAAACCCTAAACCCTAGGGTTTGGGTTGGCAGGTGGAAGTCCCGGCACAAAGGAGGGGGACTGCGAAGAGTTCTTGTTAACAAACGGGCTCCCCAGGCGGCTGTTTTGGTCTGCCTATAACCCCTAAAGAGTCTGGGGACTAAACCCTAAACCCTAAACCCTTTTGGGTTTGGCTGCAGTTCTTCCGTGAGGATCATGCCTCTCTTGATCTCCGGGCGCCCTGAGACTTAGAGGTGTGGGTTGTGCTGGAGGGCATGAGAAGTGAGGAGCTCAGGGAGAGGCGCAGCAAGATAAGGCCTCCCATTCAGGGTATCCCTAAACCCTAAACCCTAAACCCTAAACCCTAAACCGGGGTTCTCGCAAAGGTTTGGAGTCGAACTAAGCTTGAGATCGAAGTGCCGAGATGTGGGCTACTTAGACTAGCTGCCCTAAACCCTAGAACGCCCCCAAGGACCTGAAAGAAAGCAGCCTGCAAAAACCCTCAACCCTAACCCTGAACCTGAAGAACCGCAAACCTACTTTTTTGCAGGTGACCTAAGAATCCTATAAGGTGTTTTATGGTAAGAACCTGCAAAACTTCAAGCAGCCTGTCAAAACTTGCTTTTTTCCGGGCGTTGGTCTTTGAGGCCGACATATCACAGAACCACAGAAAGTCCAGATCAGATCTCCAGCTTCGCTGTCTCTGTAGAGACCTCATAGCGCACCTGCGTTTGAAGCCTGCGATCCCCACGCTCCGAAATGAGGGTTTAGGGTTTAGGGTTTAGGGTTTAGGGTTTAGGGTTTAGGGGTTTAGGCTTTAGGGTTTAGGGGTTTAGGGGTTTAGGGGTTTAGGGTTTAGGGTTTAGGGTTACATCCTCCCCTTCCCCAAGTCCGGGTCGGTTCGAGCGATGTGGGGGGGCCAGCTTAAAGATTCCCGAGAATTCGTCTCTAGAGGAGGGGCCCCCCCCCCTAGTGATAGGTAGAGTTATAAGAACCCTAAGTTGGGTTATAAGGATCCTAAATTAAGTTATAAGTCCCTTAGCTACAGTTAGTATAGTTAGGGGGGGCCCCTCCCTCTACATGCTGGCGATTCCAGTATGCACGTTCACACTGACCGCCAGCCTGTTCTCGTGGGTTAAAAGCCTGTATGCTGGCAGGTCCACTTCTTCCTCCTGGGAAGGATGCTCTCAAACACCCAAGTCCTCAATCAGCCTCAAGCGCCGTGTCCCACCCTTGATGCCAGGGGCACTGGGCCAACATATCATCAGGTGCATATTGAGGCATGGGCTGTTGGGTTCGGAGAAGGTTTAGATGTGTTTGGGGCTCCCTTCTTCTTAGAGCACTTAAGCCTTCGCACCATCTATGACACCATCACGTCGGCTTCAGGAAACTGAGCCTGCCAAGTTTAGGGTTTAGGGTTTAGGGACGAGTCGCCATGCTAGTCCCCCTAGTCCCCCTAAACCCTGATTAAACCCTAAGCTGCATGTATGGTGCGAGCTTTTTTGGCCTCCTGTTGCCGCTCGACATGGCCGAAGCTGCAGCCCCTTTTGCTCAGACCCTCGGGTCTTTGAACGAAGCTAAGACAAGGCGAGGCGACAAGAGCCGAGTTATACAAGTGTATGGCAGGGGGCCGATGCATTGCGGTCGCCAGCACGTGACATGATATGTAAAGAGTAAGGTTAAAGAGCATGCTCGGTTGGCCACTCCTTCATCTGACGTCAAGCGGAGTGCTCCCAAACCCCAAATTTGTTCGCTTGTAGCTGAAACAAGCTAGATGCGGGCCAAGGAGCCGGAGCTTATGTTGCACCCTGAGCCCTAAACCCTCCCAAAAACAACAAAAACAAGCCCTAAACCCGCCATCACCCTGAACCCTAAACTCTAAGGTGGCAACAACCCCCAAAAACTCTAAACCCTACACCCTACACCCTAAACCCTAAACCCTAAACCCTAAACCCTAAACCCTAAACTCTAACCACCAACCATCACCCTTACATCGCTCTGGACAATGAAGCGCCTCGGGGCCGCCGTCGCTGCCGTTGCCGCTTCACTTGATGCCTTGTCACCGGACTGCTGCGAGCCCTGGGGTTTAGGGTTTAGGGTTTGGGGTTGGGGTTTGGGGTTTAGGGTTAGGGTTTAGGGTTTAGGGTTGGTCCAAGGGCAGATTCCGGGCCGTGTGCAAGCTTTGAGGGGTTGGGTTGGGGTTGCAGAGCACTTTACCCTAAACCCTAGCCCCTAAGCCCTTAAAGCCCTAAAGAGCCAAAGGCCCTTAAGCCCGTAAGCCCTTAAAGCCCTGAAGCCCCTAGGCCCTTAACGCCCTTAAAGGGCCCTTAACCCCTTGAAGCCTTTAAAGCCCTTAACCTAGTTCTCTGGGGTTGCTGGGATTCCATACCGTGCTTGATGTCTCGCAGCCAACTTTTTTCAACCCGGACCTTGTTGGGTTTAGGGTTTACCTTCGGGCTGTTCTGCATCATCTCGGGTCCGAGCTCGTTTCAGGAAGTTAGGGTTAAGGGTTTAAGGTATTAGGGTTTTGGTATTAGGGTATTAGGGTATTAGGGTTTAGGGTTTAGGGTTTAGGGTTTAGGGTTTAGGGTTTAGGGTTTAGGGTTTAGGGTTTAGGGTTTGGGTGCAGGGGCTTTCAGGGGCTCTGCTACCAGGTTGATGAGGCTGGTTGTTGATGCATAGTTTCTCATGGTGCCGTTGGGTATGCTTCCCACCGCAAATCCAAGCACTGACCAAAGTGCGCCGCGGGATCGTCCAAGCAGCCCTAAACCCTAAACCCTAAACCCTAAACCCTAAACCCTAACCCCTGAGAATGTCTGACCTCCCGCTCTCTTCTTTCCATGACTGTCGTCGATCCAAAGACCCCTTCAACCCGGAACACCAAACCCTAAACACCCAAAACCCTAAACCCTAAACACCCGAAACCCTAAACACCCCAAACCCTAAACCCTAAACCCGAAACCCTAAACCCTCAAAGGCCCAAGCCGCAAAACCTCGAAGCTGTTTTGCGTTGGAGGATCCCTAAACCCTAAACCCTAGTCCCTCAAAGCTTTTGCGTTGGAGGATCCCGCGGACTTGGAGTACGACCGCGCCGTGGCGAGCAGCTCAGGCCAGCCAGCAAGGATTCTCAAGCTAAGGGTTGAGACCCTAAACCCTAAGCCCTAAACCCAACTCCCAAACCCTAACTGTAGTCTTAAGGGTACTTCGTGGCTTCAGGGGAGTCACATCCGGAATGTACGTTGATGCGCGGAGGGTGCTGAAGAGCCAGCAGATACTCAGACTTGACCTCTGGCCTTTTGGCCTTTGAGGCATTCTTCCCCCGAACCTTATCAAAACTCTAAGCCCTAAATCCCTTTTTTGGCTGCCAAGACCTATATTATGGGTTTACGATATTAAGGGGCGCCTAGTATAGACCCCAAATAGTAGGATCTCCTTGTAGTAAGGACCCCTTTGAGCTACCCCTGATATCGTAAGCCCCCCAGACCCTAAACCCGAAACCCTAAACCCTAAACCCTAAACCCGCTATCCCTGGTCCCTTGTGAGATGGCGGGCAGGTATGATCTATGCCCTGCAAGCAGCCCAGTCCTCTTTGGTCAGAGCTTTGGGCTGTAAAATCAAGTCTCCTTCCTAGCGTTGAGGGTTTAGGGTTTCGGGTTTTAAGATTTAGAGTTTTAGGCTTAGGGTTTAGGGTTTAGGGTCCCAGGCAGGCAGTGCAGCAGTCTCCTAGCTGTAAAAAAGGGTTTAGGGTAGGTTCCAGGGGCAAGTTGTGGGCGTTGCATTCGTGGTTTGAAGTCCTTGGAACTCACAAGTGCAAACACTCAAAAGCATAAAACTTCCTACCTGCATGTGCCAGACAGCTACCTGTACATCAGGACAACAAAGAAACATGGATTTTCACATGCAGGGAAAACATAGAGTCGGCGGAAGCATACAGCTTGGGGAACAAGAACAGGGAAACTACATACGCGATCGACATGTATATTCTTCGCAACCCTTTTCGGGTGAGACGATGGCAGGACTAGGGTAAATTTTCCGGCCACCGTGGGGAAAAGCTCAGTCAGAGACGCTTCTATAGTCGCTGATAAAGCTCACCCGACGCACAAGAGGAATTCGTGACCACTCGCCGATAAAGATGAATCACGGTTCGCCTCATGGCTCCCCTGGACAGCACCAACATGAACCCTAAATTGGGGTCAAAGACCCTATACTACTGTCATTCCTGTTAAGGTATATGGACCATAAACGCTTTTAGGGTTCATTTCGTCCCCAAGGGTCTGGGTGGTTCTGGGTGCAACGTGTCGTGTGGCACACTCTAGAGACAGTTTTCGGGTTCGGGTGGGTGTAGGGTTTAGGGTTTAGGGTTTAGGGTTTAGGTTTCAGGTCTTGCGATCAGAAGATGTTTCCTGCTTGCTGCCGCGAACGTGCGTGTTCCAGGTACTGAAGAACCTTCAGGTGCCCCAAAGCCTGGCAGTTTCCACGAGAAACCGCCCCAATCCAGACGCTTTAGGGTTTGGGGTTTAGGGTTTAGGATTTGGTGTTTGTAGTCAGGAATCGACCCATACTCGGAGTATGCCATCGCAGAGCCCGTGGCTGCATCCAGTCCCCAACCCTAATACCTCAACTCAACCCTATGAACCCCACGACACGCTCACCCTACTATAGGGGTCGGAATAATTACTAGTGATTTTCCCTTATGGTCCCTTCACAATTCTACTAGCATAACAGACCTATTCGAAATATGAAGGCCCCAACAAGGAGGGGCCCTTGCTATGCTAACTAAAGTTAAGGGACTTCTAACCTGATCTTGGATCCTTATAGCCCAACTTAGGGTCCTAATAACTCTACTTCCCCCTCCCTTGTATCTGACCCACCCTAAACCCTAAACCCTAAACCCTAAACCCCTTGCGAGCACATCAGGAGCCTGAAAAGAGCTCCGCTTCCTCGACGGCCTTCGCGCAGCTCCTGGAGGCAGAAAGAGAGGGTTTAGGGTTTAGGGGTGAGGGGTGTCTGCTTAGGGTTTCTAGGGTTTTTGAAGGGTTTTTATGGGTTTTGCTGCGCTTGTCAGGGAACCAGAGAGTCATCGTCGAAGACAGGAGGAATTTCTCGGGATGACGGCCCCTTTCGTGCACCATTGCATGAGTAGTTCTCCACATGAGGTTCCCTTCTTTTGGGTCCCTGTAGTACGCTTTGTTTTGTTAGGACGTCAGGCCTCAGGTTTTGCAGACTTCAAGTCATGCGGGTGCTGGTTGGCAGGGCCACTGTGGGGTCTTGGAGGGTTTTAGGGTTAGCGGGTGGTGAGAAAAATGGGTTGACGCTTGGCTTCGGTTACAACAGAGCCCGCTTGGGCTGAGAGTTGAGGCCCGAACCATGGGTGCTTCAGGCTGTCACATCCATATTTAGCACTTTTGGGTTGGGGGCAAATTTGGCTTCGAACCGGCAAGAGGTGTTTTTCCGAGTGTTGAGAAGATGGAGATGGGAGTTTGGTAGAGCTTCAGGGGGGTTGTTTTCAACATCGCTTTGAAAAGGCTGCAATGTCTTGTCGAAACCAAAGCCCTAAGCCCCAAACCCCAAACCCTAAATCCTAAACCCTAAACCATGAAAAAAAAAAAACAAACAAAACAAAAACATAAACCCAACTCGGCGCTTGCACCTCCTCGGCCAGGCTTCCAGCTTCGTCTACGCGCTGCCATGCGCGGCGCCTTGGCCGACACAGCTGAAGGCCCCTAAACCCCTAAACCCCTAAACCGTAAACCTTAACCCTAAACCCTGAAACCGACTACCAAGCCACACATGGGTGTTGGGGTACCCTATTTTGGGAAATACCCACATGCGTCACATGCGTCATGGTATGTATTTGGGAAATCGCAGAGCGGAGCAGCTGCAAGCGGGATGCCCATGAGATTGTATACTGTAGCTTAGTAGTAGAGAGTCGGTAACCTCTGGCGCTTTTTGCAGTATTGCAACTCCTGGCATAATCACAAAGGTTAATGCCTGTAGTTCCTTTCGTCAGCGCAGGACCCCGCAGGAGAGTTAAAACCAGCTAAAACCTGTGAGTCACCACTCGAGGGTTCCAAGTCCATCCTATAACGAGGGGCTCCCCCTGTTATCAGTAGAGTTATAAGGACCCTAAAAGGGGAAGGGGACACCTTTTTGACCCCAAATAGGATAGAATCCCCTTGGAGGCCCAATCCCCCCCCCTCCAAAGGGTACCCCCTATTTTGGAAACCCCCCGAATGGCTACGGCTCAAGTCGACATGTATACATGTGGCCGGAGCGCACCGGAGAGACTTTTAAGGTTTAGATGTTTGGGGTTTATAGGGTTTAGGGGTTATAGGGTTTAGGGTTTACAAGGTTTACAGGGTTTGTAGGGTTTGGGTTTAGGGTTTAGGGTTTACAGGGAGGGGCCCCCCTAACTATACTAACTGTAGTTAAGGGGCTTATAACCTAATTGAGGATCCTTATAACCCGATTCAGGGTTCATATAACTCTACGTATAACTAGGGGCCCTCCTTGTAGGGTTTGTAGTTTAGGGCGCTTTTTAGATTTTAGGGTTTAGGTTTAGGGTTTTGGGTTTATATATATATATAGGGTTTAGAGTTTAGGGTTTAGGGTTTAGGGCTGTTCGGCAGCAGATCTCAGAACCGACAGGCTGAGCAGTCAGGAGGAGCGCAATGGAGGTCCTGGGTGCAAAGTGCTCCAGGAATCTTAGTAGCGGAATGAGTACGCTTTACACTTTTTGGGATACGAAAATCCCCTATAGAAGTGAAAGTGTAGACTTTTTGGGGGGCTTATGAACTCAGCAAGTAAGGAATGCATCTTCGAGAATCTTGTGCCTATTGGTGTTCGGCTTGAAAACATCACGGCTGAGCGCACAGATGTTGGGAGGGTTTCCTACCCTACCCGCAGCCCCAGCGCCAGGATCTTCGAATCCGTTTGAAAACAAGCCCGAGACGGAGGTTGGGACTGTTCCAGACTGGCTGGCAGATGCCATGATGATCAAGCAGCCCACAACCGTCGCGCCCACAACTGCAGCGCCCTCACCAGCGAACGCACCGGCTGCGTTACGAGCACCCCTGGCAGCTCCCGAGCCAGTCCTGGCGGCCACAACCCGAGCCCCAGTTGTTCCAGCCGCGGCTCCGGCCGCTCCTCCGGCCGCTCCTCTGGCCGCTTTTCCGGCCGCTCCTCCGGCCGCTCCTCCGGCCGCTCCTCCGGCCGCTCCTCCGGCCGCTCCTCCGGCCGCTCCTCCGGCCGCTCCTCCAGCCCCAGCAGCTCTTCCAGGCACACCTGAAGGCCTTGACCTGAGCCAGCTTGGCCAGTTCGCCTTATGTGAGCAGCCGGAAAGCACTGGCAGAAGATTGCTAAGCTTTCAGGACCTGAAGGAGTACTCGCCAATGAAGATCGTCCAGCGGATTCTTGTCTGCTTCATCATCGTATTTCTTCTTGTGTGCCTTTGCATCAACAGGAAGGCGGTCCTCATTGTTCTGACGGGTGATGACCAGCTGCATGCAACTCTTCCGGACTGCTGTTGGTACGGGGTGTGGCAGTGCTGTGGCCTCTGCAAGTATGACTGGGTAACTTACTGCACTCAGTGGGCCTGCTGTGGGAGGTGGCGCGGATCCAACCCTGTGCGAACACTGGCGCAGTGGGTGGGTGTAACATCTATGACCATCGAGCTCAGCAATATCGTGGTGGGCGACATTCCCTTCTACCGGTATGGAGCCTTCTCGGTGTCGGTCGAGTCCGGCAAGTATCCGGCCTTACAAACTTCTGTGCAAGAGGACCAAGACCCCAAGACGATTCACTTCCCCGAGGTCCTGACATTACGCCTCCGAGACACGATGTGGGATTTGCCGGTGGTAATTACAGTGAACCAGATCAACTTCATCGGCATCCACAAGGTGGCTGAGGTTCATCTGTCCCCTAAGCAAGTGGCGAAGTGGGCACATCAGGGCGAGCCGGACAACACGAAGCGACTGGCCTTGACAATGAATGACCGCAATGTGGAGATGGAGACGCCGCCGTGGGTGAGCATAACTTTCAGCACTCCAACGGCGGACTTGCGCCACCTCGACCACTTTCATGCGAACTCAAGCATGTCAGTGCGACTCGCCAGGTGGGATGCCGTTCCAAACCCCACGACTGGAGAGTACTTCGCCGAGCACCCTCTGGTGCAGGTGAAACACGACTACCACCTGGTGGACGGTGCTGGGAATTGTGTTCCTATGTCTCCCAGTAGGCCTTTGTTTCCCTTTTTGGGGGCCTTAGGTTCCTTATAAAACTACCCAATACCAAAAAAGGTTTAGGGTTTAGGGTAAACTACCCATACCAACAAGGGAGCCCTTAGTATTCCTAGGTTACTGGGGATCCTAGGTTCAGGAGCCGGACGAGGAAGAGCTCTACTGGCTTAGCAGCTGCAGGAGCTGCTAGGACCGGGAGTAGGCCCTTTTTCCCCCCCCCCCCCCCTATTTTTTAGGGTTTAGGGTTTAGGGTTGGGGTTTGGGTTTAGGGTTGGGGTTCCCTTGTAATCCCCTTAAAAACTAAACGGGTACCCTTTTTATTCCTAGGCTACTCCCGGGTCTAGGCTTTCTGCTGGCGGTCTACTCCGTACTGAGCTTCTTGGTGGTCGTTGCTGTTCTGGGCTACGCGGCTTTCAGATACTACGTCCGAAACTGCTACTCGGAAGCCCAGTGGTACCCATGTCCCTTTTTGCTTCTCGAGGTATTCTAAAGTAACCCTAAACCCTAAACCCTAAACCCTAAACCCTAAACCCTAAACCCTAAACCCTAAACCCTAAACCCTAAACCCTAAACCCTAAACCCTAAACCCTAAACCCTAAACCAACCCAAAGACGGGAATTCACGCTTGTTATGATATGGTTCCTGGGCTACCAAGGCTATCAGAAGTTTGAGCTGCTCACCATTGCCAAGAGCCTTGGGGACCAAATGAACCCTTGAATTTTCGGGCTGTGCCCTATACTACTATAATTCCTGTTAAGGCATATGAACCCTGAATCCTAAACCCTAAACCCTAAACCCTCTGAGGGTTCCTTTCCTCCCCCAAGGAGGTGGGAGCCGCACCATTTTCCGATGCCCAGCTGTGCCTTGCAATCCATCGGCCACACCTGCGACGTGCGGATGCAAGGCACAGGCCTGGAGCCTGGCACCGACACTTGGTAGGGTTTAGGGTTTAGGGTTTGGGGTTTAGGGTTTAGGGTTTGGGGTTTAGGGTTTGGGGTTTAGGGTTTAGGGTTTAGGGTTTAGAGCTAGTGGTACCCTTTTTGTCTTTGTTTTTTGGTTCTAGGGCTGCCTTATAAAAAGTAGCCAACCCAGAAAGGGTGGGTGCTCTTATTTTTAGTATGGCTACTGGGCTACCAAGGACATATGTCGGCCATACGATGCCGAGGTTGAACTTACATGTGAGAGTCCGCCGCAAGAGCGGCCGACGGCGTTTTCTTTCATTCTAGAAGCTTGGAAGCCCACTGGTACCCTTTTCCCTTTTTTCACGGTTCCCTTATAAAAATGAACAATTCAAGCAAAGGGCACCCTTGTTATGATATGGCTACTGGGCTACCAAGGAAGACTTGGGCTATGGATCCAACAAGGGCGTGAAGTGCTTCGATGGGTTGTGCGTGCTGCGGAACAAGGTTATGAAGTTTGACAACGTCGTCTGCTTCGGGGCTCTGTTCGTGGTCTTTTTCATCTTCTGCTTGTTCAGGCCTTTGGCCAACTCTTTCCTGAATAGCGCGAGACTTCGTGCACAGCAAAGGAGCAACAGCAGATACCGAAGAGTCCCAGCCGAGTAAGATCGAATGAACGCCTCGGTCTGCCGAGGCTGGCTGCACATTCGTAGGTAGTTCTAAGATGTTCTAAGGGTAGTTTCACGGGGCCCTTAATGTGGTTATAATCAGTGGGCCCTTCTAAGGGCCCATACTAAATGTGGATATGATAAGGGTGCCCTGCTAAGGGCTTATGCTATTATACTTGGGGACCATGTAACTACCCTTAGAGTAGTCAACGGAGCCGCTTCCCTGGTCTCTCAGAACTGAGAGCTCCAGGACCGGCTAAAATCGTTTAGGGTTTAGGGTTTTAGTGTTTAGGGTTTAGGGTTTAGGGTTTACCCTTTTTTTTGGTTCTGGGTTCCTTTGCAAGTAACCACCCCCCCCCCCCCCCCCCCCCAAAAAAAAAAAAAAAAAAAAAAAAGGTGCCCTTATTATAATATGCAGGGCTACTAAGAAACCCTAAACCCCAAACCCCAAACCCTAGTACACTCGCATGGAGCGAAAAGCGAAGCGATGACGCTGCATGATCGCGGAAGCAGCGGTCCTTTTTACACTCAGTGCGCGAAGTTGCTCTTACCTTGGGACCAAGTGAACCCTAAAAGGGTTTAGGGCTTTAGGGTTCATATACCTTCACAGGAAGTCCAGTAGTAGAGGGTATACGACCCCCAACTGTAGGGTTCATTGGTCCCCAACCCTAAATAAAACCCTAAACCCTAAACCCTAAGGTTAAGCATCATGGAGATGTCAGATGCCGAGAGCGTTGGCCTAAAACGCGGCCATGCGCGGGCTAAAGTGCCTACAAGAAGGGGCCGGGCCCCCTTACTATACTAAAAACAGCTCAGGGACATATGGCCTAATTTAGGTTTAGGGTTTAGGGCTTAGGGCTTAGGGTTTAGGATTCTTATAACCCAACGTAGGGGGCTTTTAACTCTACTTAGAACAAGGGGGCCCCTCCTTGTAATTGGAGAGAACCCTGTAAAGACGTGACACAGCTGCATGAGCTGCAACCATTCAATGAGAAAAAACTAAGGCTCGTGAAACCCTAAACCCTAAACCCTAAACCCTTGCCGGCCTCATGCGAGAGTGAGCTACGAAGCCCTAAGCACCAAGCTCAGAGCCATCGGAGGCCAAAAAGCCACCAACCTTCCAGGAGGGGCCCCCTTAGGGTTTAGGGTTTAACTAGAACTAGTTGCAAAAAAGGGTTTAACTAGACTAAGTATAGTCAAGGGACATAATCGCCTAAGTTCGAATCCGTATAACCCCATTTAGGGTCTTCTAACTCTGCTTATGGCTAGGGGGGGCCCCTGCCTTGGTACTTTCCTTGGCAGCCCAGTGGTGCCCTTTTCCCTTTGTTTGAGTTCAAGGTTCCGTTATGCAATAACCAACCAGAAAAATTGTGCCCTTATTATATGGTTACTGGGCTACCAAGTTTCACGTTCCCAGGCCCGGCATGTGCTCCGAGTATCGCCAGCCGCTGGTGATGCGGAGACCCGTGGCTGCAAGAGACCTGTACTGGCTTCATTGCCTGGGGTCTTACATTCCCTTTACATAATCCCAAAGGTTGAGCTTTTTTAGGATACTGGACAACTAGGTCTATAACTAAGTCTTTTGTTGCGATTGTCTTTTCTGTACGAGTGTTTTCGGGCTATTTTGGGGTCTTGGGGTGATT